TGTACAAGATGAAACTCTCTCGTATTCATCTGGTCCAATAGCACAAAAAATAATGTGGATAACCTTTGAGTTGAGCTGGAACATTCTTATCTCTGCTTCACTCCACAATCTTAAATGAGTGGAAGGAATGAAGTATCCATCTTCTATGATATTTCATGATCCCATGTCGCTTGCTTGAATGAAGTACCTCATTTTATTCTTCCAATAAGCATAATTAGAACTATTGAAGAAAGGAGGCTTGTTGATGGGCATAGAATCAAGAACGAAGTCAGAGTTTGAAGTGGAGGTCATTGATGACTTGAATAACGATATAACTCTTCTTGAATCGACAAAAGAGACAATTAAACCTTCAAATGAGTGAGGCTCTGATACCAATTGTTGAGTTAATCGATCGACGAATCGCCTAAGAGGGGATGTATTGGCAATAAAAATTTTGGTGGAAGCTTTTACAGAAAATTGCAAATAATTGCACAGCGATTTAGAGTGGTTCGACTTTCTCAACAAAAGTCTACGTCCACTACCTTAGCTATCCACACAAAGGATTTTCCAAAAAATTCAATAATTTGTTCTTTCTTTTGAGGACAAAGAGTAACCTTACAACTCACTCAAGAATTATACCTCAAATTCTTGATAACACTCTCTCTCAAAGAGAAATACACAAATTTACAATCTTACTAGAAAACCTCACAAGGTAAGATGTTAGCACAATTCTAGAACAAAGAAAGAACACTAAAAAATAAATACAATTGAGCACAATAAGTGTTCTTGAAAGCAAAATGAATATTGAATGAAAAATAGGCTTGAAATGCTCAAACTTGAGGTTTGATGCTTTCTCTTTGATTCTCTAGCTTCTCTTCTTGATTGTTGATGATCAATGGCTCCTAATCTTGTTTAAATACTCATTGGATCACTTCTGAACGTTGGGGATCATTAGTGGAGTCAATAGAGTCGTTATGGTGTGAAAACAATTAATAAAACAGTTGGGAGCGTATGGTGCATCGATGCATAGTCAAGGTGCATTGGTACACTATGTGTAAAACTCAAATATTTCGACCGTTATAAGACTTAGTGCATCGGTACACTAATTACATTCGATGTTTCAAACAAGCCTAAAGTGCATCGATGCATGGTCTATGCATCGGTACACAAAATGCATTCGATGTTTCAATAAACCCTTAGTGCATCGGTGCATGGTGTGTGCAACGGTACACTAAATGCATTCGAAATGGGGTGTGCATCGATGCATCAAATGAGTGCATCAATACATCCCTTTATAAAATTGATTTTTGGCTTGTTTTTTGTTCGAAATACTTTGTGAAAATTATTTCAAAAATATTTTAAATTTAAAACACAATTTTACAATTTAGTAAGGATTGAAATTGATCTTTTAAAGACTTGGAGTAATATTTGAATAATTTAATCGAATATACTTTGAAAATGATTTGTAAAAGCGTAAAATTCATTTAAACTTAATTTATTATATCGAAACATCAAAATGTTTTCAACAAAACAGAATAAGAATAATAATTTAGATACTAAACATGAAATTTACCTTAAAATTTAATACGCATATTTTATGTTAATATAATATGAAAGTGTCTGGCATATCATTGAAAGCAGAGATAGAACTAAACGGAGTGTGAGACGAGCTCAGTCTTCCCCCAATTTTTTTTTTATTTAGTGATAATTTAATAATTATAAATTTAAATATTAGAGAAATTAAATTTTGTATCTAAATACTTAACAAATCATTATTTTTTAAGGAAAACAGTTAGTTTACCTTTAACATTTGATCCTGATAATATTCCTAATTAAAATGTAATCAATTAAAATATTATATAAACATATAAAATTATTTTTAATCTATATTGATCCCTTATATATAGAGAGAGAAAGTTTGCAATATGAACTTGAAATATTCTCTCAAAATCGATAATTCGATTGTAGTTGTGAAATATAACATGCCTCAAACATTAGTTGATGAAAGGTAAATAAATGAATTGTGCAAGCTTAAACTTATCGATTTCCCTCCATGATAAAATAAAATAATCTTCTTGAACTTTTGTCCCCAATTACAGCAAATGATGGTATCCACAAAGTGTCGGATATTTTGATTGTGAGAATAGTTTTTGTATTGAAATAATTTTTATACAGTGGGTTGTCTTATTGTTTTTGACAATGATCGTGGTTTTCCTTAATTTAAAGAGTTTCCATATAATATTCATGTGTTTTTTATTGTATTATTTCCTAGTTTAATTCTTTATTTTAGCCTAATAATCTCACGGAGCAACTGGTTTTGTAGTTAAATATTTTAGAGTGGTGAAAGATATAATTAAATATTTTCTTCATAATACTTTTGTGTAATGATACTGTTTAAACACATGTGAAAAATATCATATCAGTAACATGTGTTAAACGTTAGTAAATAAACGTTTTCCATCCAACATGAGTTAGTTTGAATAAAAATTAGAACGTTAGGGATAAAACACTAAAAAAATAGGGCCAAAGTGATCATTTTAATAAACATTGAGGATTAGTTTTTCATTACGCCTTCAAAAAACTAAACGTAAAAATTTGTTAAAAATTAAGACTAAAATAAAAAAATGTGAAAAAGTTTTAAAAAAAACTTAATATATCATCATACCTAAGCTAAAAGAAATATCATGTGTAATTAAAAAGAAAAACTCCTGTTTTCCTCTGTTTCTTTTTTATGTTAACTTTGAATAAAACAATAATTCCTAGCTCAGTTAGCAAGTGTTTAGTATTTAAAAATTATATATATATATATATATATATATGGATTGGAATGACCTCAATTGCACAAAACATTATTCTAGACTTCACCTTTTGTTTCTCGGTAATTTAATTTTATTAATAGAATGACAACAGTGAATGAAGTTCAGTTCAACAGAAAATTACGTTATCCACTTCACTCTGTACCTCCCACGACACAAAACTCTAGCCCCCTGCGCCTACCCCCACTCAACTCGACCACTTCCCAAAAACACCCTGAAGTAATCCTCTACACACCAAGACACCACCAACAAGCAGCAAACACACCAACACTTCAGCCCAAACAACACCACCACTAGGCTCGGCCACCTCCACACTTGATGAGGATATAGAAACCAGAAACAAAACATAGCATAACCACAACCTTAAAGGTAGAAAGCATAGCAACCAATCACTAAGGCAAAAGCATAGCAAGGCCCAAAGAAGAAACAAACTCCAAGACCTTTGCAGTAGACAAACTCCACCGAAAACAAGGCCACCAAAAACTTGTGAACTTTGCTCCCAAACCAGCATGATCAAACCCAAAACTGAACACAAAATTGTCGCCAACCTCCAAAACAATCACTTGACACGAGGAGGAAACAACTTTAACATTCAAAACAAGCTCTTAATAGTTCCAACCTAACTAACCAGACAGCAGACCTTAAAATCACCATGAAGACTCCACATACAGATGAGAAAATCAACGCCCAAATTACGTTCTTACGCCCAGGCTATCGAAAAACACTGCACGTGAATCTGCCAAACCATGCAGCAGGCCCTGCCATGAAGACTCCAACCTTGACATAAGCAAAAAGAAACAAATCTGCTAGTCCCACGAAGCTTGGAACAGCTCTGAGCGACCCAAACCTTGTTTCGCCAGCTGATTGACAAACCCGTTACCCTCTCTTGGAACATACACGAACTTTACCTCTGCAATGTTATTTTCTAACTTATTGATTACATCAAAAACATCCCACCATCTCCACGGCCTCAAAGACGAATTTTCAATCTAATTCAACACAGCTTGGGAATCCTATTAACGAGAAATTATTATACGACCCAGATTTGACGAAAATTACCAAGGCTGTTTTAATTGCTACCAATTCTGAAAAATCCGAGTTCACCGGGGTCACAGGACCCGAGAGCATCGCTTTAACGACCCTTTTGCACTGCGTAACACACCTCCACAACCTGCTGACGAAACTGTATATGCTCCATCCACATTAAATTTCAGGCAGCGGACATCACACCCGCTGCTCACTAATCTCATTTACACTTTCAACAGGATTATTCCACCAGCCGAATTCAAGAACTTCAATTTTATTGTTAATTGCCTTCGGCCATATAAGTGCTCTCATCTTCACAATGAACAGGAGATCCTTATGCGAGGTAGCTTTACTATCAAACACCAGTTCATTTCTCACCAACCACACGCTCCACAATGCTGCAGCAACCGAGATTAGCCAAACCGATTTAACTGGGCCAGTCAAAGGACTTGAAAAACAGAATGCAAAGAACGCGTTAAAAGTCCCCAGGGAAGGCCAAACTTGCACCCACCAATTGTAATTTTTTTCCAGAAGTATCTTATAAATCTGCAGTTAATAAACAAGTTGAACGCTAATTCCACACTCGTTTTACACCACGGGTAACAACTCAAAGATTCGTCTAATTTCACCCCCTAGTCTGAAGAAACTCCTTTGCCGGCATCCTATCAATTTTCAGCATCCATAGGAAATTCTTCACTTTGGGTGGAACCTTCAACTTCCAAATGAGATCAAAATCAAAGTCTGAGTTAGTAAGATTTGCATTAACCAGCAACTCCGCTAACTTAACAACCGAAAAATGACCCACTTGTGAGTGTAACCATATTAGCCTAGCGGAACAAGAACTCGACATTATCTCTTCCTCTAACAATTTCGAAAGAGCTTCTAATCCTTTTTTTCTCTGTCCAATAGAGGTCTGGAAAACAAATAAGGTCAATTAATCAAACTCAAATCCCCCTGTTCAGCAATGGAGGCGATGGAGCAGCCTTTGCAATTCGTCAGCCTGTACGGTCTTGGGAATAATTGACGCAAAGGCTTGTCACCACACCAAAGATCTTCCCAAAACATAATTGATTTCCCATTACCCAATTTCCAACGAAAAGCAGACACTCATTTTTATCTGGATCTTAATTGTTTATTATTATTATTATTATTATTATTAATATCATTTTTCTATTTTTACAGGTTATAAATTGACCCAAACCAAATTACGAAGGCCCACTATTACAATATTCAGGCTCAAATTACAAAAAAGACCAAGACCAAATCAAGCCTACATTACATTACACGGGCAAGCAACCCGAATAACAAGCCCAACTTGACAACCCAACACAGCTAGGGTTTCGTCCTATCTCCCCATTCATAGCACATTTCCAGTCATTGGGTCTGTGCTAGATCCAACAAACCAGATGAGAGCAAACTAAGGTTCTCAAACCCTAAAGTTACTGCACCGTCACCACGGCTGCCTATTCCCGCTGTCACTGCCATCTAGGACAAGTTTGTCTCATAGTCGCTTCTGCCATTTGCTCCCAGTGTCGTCGCCTTGTTTCAATCGGCCATCAATATATCAATCAGCCAAAAAAATGGGCCAAAATTAGTAAAAAATTACAAATATAATTTTTTTACTCATAAGAGACAATAGAGATCAAATCTGAGACTATCAGCTACAAAATAGTACAATCATGCCCTATTTTCTAGGTAACACTGAAGCAGAGCATCGAATCATAACATGCAACACCATAAAACGAAGAGAGGAAACCATTTTTAAAAAAAATTGGGGGAGAAGACGAAGAGAAAGAAAAGAGATAAAAAGATAGAGGGATTTGAACACCAGAAAAAAAAAGGAAAAAATGAAAGAAAAAAAAAGAGAATGAGAAGAAAAATCAAAGGAAAAACGAAAAGAAGAAAACAAAATAAAGATAGAGAGGGTGAATGAGAAGCTTACCCTTGTTGATTCTCTACTAAGGAAAAGTTTATCATCAAGGGTGGATCTCTCCCGAAGCTTCGCCTTCAGATCTGCTCTGACCCACTTCCTTTTAAGTAAACGTGTCTTAGATTTGTATTGTGGACTTCGAGATGAGCCATTTGGTGTCGCCAACTCTCTTCTCCGTCACCGACAAGCGGCGGCCGATGTCGATTAACGGCAGTTGGCACGACGTAGGAATACCGGCGAGTTTTCTCCATCTCATTTTTAAGCAGTTGAAGAATAAATGAATTTTAAGGTTTCAATAACCCTATAAAGATGGTTATATATCATCTCTGGTGCGGCAGCGTTTTGGCAAGAAAGAGAGACTGAGTGCCTGATTGAGGGTATAATCTCATCCGAAGTCCTTCAAGCTTTGTAATGGTTGTAATATGGTTACTTAATGAAAGTTCATCCTTCCATCCCGAGCTCTTTATTTGTTTTATGTTCTATTTTAGTCCTCATCGATTAGTTATTATTTGTTTATATGTTCAACTTTTGGATGTTGAGTTGCATAGTATTCGTTTTGGTCATGTTACTCCTCTGTTTACAGATTTAGGATATTTTGGATTTTGAAACTTAGTTGTGACAATTTTATTTTAGTCCTGAATGTCATTTATGGTTTATTTGCATTTTTATGCATTTGTTGTTTAATATTATCGATTAATACCCTGATTGTTGTTAGTATTGTTGTTAAGTCTTTTAAGTTACTATTAATATGATTTTGGTCCTTTGAATTACTATGTATGCTTAGTTTCTTATGTTTGAACTCTAGTTTGTAATGATTCCATGTTTTTATTTCGATCCTTTACATATTTGTATGTATATGTGTACTATATTTTTATCTATATTGCATGCATGTAATGAATGTATTATATTTACCTTATTATACGCATGTGTTGGCCATATATATTCACTAATATTATTATTTTCCTTTTATGTACCTAGTAGATATATATAGGTTTGCATGTACATATTCATTTATGTCATATATTTGTCACTTATGTATTAATGCTTATACATCTTGCTTTTCTTGAATTACTTTTACGTGTTAGTATTATAAATATATTTTTATCCAAAGATTTTCGAGAACACTCGGCGTAGAATGAGCGTGGAAAGCACTACTTGGTCGAAATAATGCAATCTGATACGACATTCAAACGAAATGTGAACTCGAAATAAATCGAGTTTATTTTTTAAAAGTGCTAATTAATTCATTTTTATTTTAATTAAAATGAGACAATGCATGTTTTTTTAAATAGTAATTTATTTTTTTGCTAATGTTGATATTCAATTTATATTTGATTTACGTTTTTTTTATAAATCTAGGAGGGAATATTCTTTTAGACAATAAATAGAAGAGATAGCATTCATGTCAGAGGATGAGCAAATCTCGATATTTCTTTTTGAATTAAAGGATTTTCCCTAATAAATAATTCGAAACAAATTAATTAAACTTTAATAAATTGATCATATTCTAACTTTATATTCAATTTACAGTTTTCACCACCACGATAATATGTAAGCGACTAAGTACTAATTTTTAGGCGATGTGGGGTGTTAATATTTCCCCACGCATAATTGACTCGCAGATCCAAAAAATGAATCTTTAATAACTTAGACCGATTTTTATCTTAAAAATGATTTTTCTTAAAATTGTTTTAAAAGACGTTTTTAGGTATTCGACATACCTAACCCAAAGGTTGATGGCGACTCCTATTCAAATTAATTCGAAATCCCTAATTTTTTTTCTCAAATAAAGTCATGATATTTTTTTAAATATTAATTGTTTTAAAAAATGGCTATGACAGGTTGGCGGCTCGACTGAGGACTTTAGAGAGTCAGGCTATAGTCGTTTACATATTGTCGTAATGGTGAAAATTATGAATTTGAGTCTATAGTTAACTTAGGATCCATTTATGGAAGTTTTAATTAATATATATATATATATATATATATATATATATATATATTTTTTTTTTTCATACTAACGATTTAATTTTTGTTTTCAGCTCTGTCAAAGTTTCTATTGAGAGTTTTTTTCCGTTTTTTTATTCAAAGGTTCGTATGTTTCTCCTCACACACCTCATGTGCATTTACATGTCATAAGCTCTATACCCGAGCTTCGTCCCAAGTAAGTGGGGGTGAACGCTTTACTCTCGTAATAATTTATTTTTCGTATGAGTTTTAGCAAATATCCCCTGGGTACACATACCTTATACATTCGCAGGAATTTATTCCTTGTATGAGTATAAGGAATTGAATCCTCTCGAATTGAACTCGATTTGTTTAAGCTTATAATGGGTGAGGATTGAGGGCTTGGCAGCCCAAAGGGGCACCAACAACAAAGACGATTCGAGTACCTTTTCCTGTTAGAGTCGAAACCATGCATGTATTGAACAGTAGAACGGACACCCTAGGCATAGCCATACTGAACCTCTATCCGTCAGTAGGTGCCAAAATAGGTGTACACGAATGATGAACGCCTATAAACCTTTACCTTTTACTTTAAGTTCGTATAATATATTTATCCTTTTCGAATAAAAGCATGCGAACTAGAAACTATATGTGGTTAGGATCAATTTCTTGAAGTAAATCATTTTGGGGTAGAAAGCATATCCAGGTAGGATTGTTATTTAATAAAAGCATACTTGGGTAGATATCATGATTAGGTAAGGTGTTATATTTATCTTTAAATATAATCTTTTAACTTTATTGATTATCTTGCTTGTACTAACTCATTTCTTTTTCTTTTGTTTTATTTGTGTCATTCTCACCTTTTTGCATTATATTTCATCGACAAGACATAATGCGAAAATGTCGATCCATAAGGGGATATTTAAGTGAAACTTTTCACAAGGAGAGATAAAAGTTTTCAATCAAGCAATCAATACACAGACATGCATTGAGGGCTAAAAGAAATTCAGAGACTACAAGAAGGAAACTTGCTTGAAGATCATGCAACATTCGAGATTGGAAACATGATCCATTGATCTGAAAAGTAATCCAGTGGTGGAGTCTTATATAGGATCGTTCTAGCGCTAATCACCAAGGAGTGACGCATGATTTCAGCACCGTAGGGGCATTAATTGAGATAGGATATATAGCGCTTGAGGGGCATAATTTTCAAAGACGGATCTCCAAGATGAGACATCGATTCATTTCAGACTCAGCATCCAAGCAAAAGCATGTCAGTAAAATGGACTATATTTTAATGTGAATACTTTTATCTCTAATGAAAATTATTCTATGATATTCATTGTTGGGATCAACATTTTTTGCATCTGCATTTGCATATTTACATTTTGCATAGCATTTATTCAAACATTTTCACATGCATCATTCTGGAAAACATGGGGATTAATTCATGGAGAATTCAATGGAAATGGTCATAATCACGTGACATAATGGAAGCAAATTTTGAAAATTTGAAGGAATAACTACAAGATAATTTACAAAGAATGCAACGAGATTGGGAAGCTAAATTAGAGCAATCAAAAAGGCTATCATAGACCCCATCTTGCAAACCCAAGACAGTATGTTCGATTAGATTGTTGAGAAATTGGTTGGGCTCAATCAGAAAAAAGGCAAAAGGCATGCATTTTCATCCATGGAAACTTCTGAGTGTGTGATGGAACAGGCTAATCCATGACTACTCATTTCACCTGAGAGGCTTCTAATCTATCAGGTAGGCTTCTCTGCCACTAAGATTCAAGCAACTGTTTTAGATCCTCAGGATAACTCTACTGATCACAACATGTCTAATCCTGATGAGATATGGAAAAAGCTAATAATGAGATCCCTGAGAACTTATAAAAATGGTGCAGAGAGACATTCAAAAGAATGAGAGGACAAGGCTCTCATGATGAAATGGATGCAAGTGAACTAGTTTTGGTTCCTGATTTAGTGCTCCCGCCCAAATTTAAAATGCCCGATTTTGAAAAGTATAACGGAACCAGTTGCTCTACTGTCCATCTCACAATGTTTATGTGAATGATGACTAGATACACAAAAAAATAATCAGATGTTGATGCCACATGCAACTATCACATAGGAAGCTCAGGATATTCCACTGAGAATTATGGGGCATTGAAGCTAAATGTCCAGAATCTGATTGATTCAGGGGGCATGGACATTCGAATAATGATGGGGCATTCTAATGCTAATTAATAAGAGATCTTTGCATCTACCAGGAAGTTTTTTTGCAATTGCACTAAGGGCATCGTTTTGTTTGAACTTGTTTTTTGTTCTGTCTTTAGTATTTACTTAAATATTTTTTTAAATCTTTTAATGATTGAATTTATGCTACCTTCTAAGGTTGAATAATTGAATGAGTTTTAATCTTGTAGTTCTTCGAATATCGAATGAATTACATATTCTTTTAGTTCTTCAAGAATTATAGATTTTTGACATATGGCAAGATTAGACCTTTCTTATACCATCTGAAACCAAAAATAAAATCTCCCGATTCTTTACTCGGAATAATTCATGGCCACTATCAAATGATCGAATTTTGACATTATCTTTCTTTGAAATTTTGAAACATTGCTTTTACCTTTTTCGAGACACAAAAAGCCATACCCTTACCTTTTGTTGAGCCAATAAAGTCACACCATCATCTTTTTAGACGCAAAACCAACATTTTTCTTCCAATAAAACCTAAAATCAATGAGTACAAGATGTTTACTTACAAGAGAATGGTTCTATAGGGGAAACGAGATGGAGTATCTCGAATAAATTTTATGAAGATGACCATGAACAATTGGGATATGCTAGAAGCAAGAAGAAAAATAAATGAAATGGTTCGAAATAATTCTATCAGACATTAATTATTTTGTTTTTAGGAATAAAAGTTAATCCTGAATATCTATCCCCCTGGGGATACTTCTTGTGCGAGGACTTATGTGTATGAAATGATGAACGACCATCTTTCATTTATCCCTTCACAAAAGGAGAAAATATATCCCTTGTTATATTCATTTGAGCCTAAATTATTTTTCTTCTGATTCAACCCTAACCAAGGATCACCCACATACTAGGGGGCAAGGCTAGGAAAATATGCTCGTATGAGTGAAGACCATCAATTTATGTCACTATGAAATAAAGTACAAAATAACAAAGAATTGCAAAGTATTTAAAATACAAAGTGTGGAGATCAAATCTAGTCGAGAACAACGAAAGAAGTTCCAAATACAACAAATAAAGAAGACAAGAAGGCATTCAAATTA